TTTATCGAACACAGTAAAACAAGAGCCATTTTGTGTTATAGTTATAGAACAAATAAATAATAGCTCAGAGCTTGTTGAAGATATAAATTTACCTGATGACATTCCTGGAATTTGTTCTTTATCTTGACCCCAAATCATTCATTTTGAATGTCGAATCAAATAAGTACTATAATTGTCACTATGGCTACAATAAACCACTCAAACTAACTGGAGTAAAATAACAAAACTCCTCAATAACCTCAAATTCACTAACGAAAGACGTTAAACGCAAAGCAAAACACTGAATAAGTGAAACTAATCCGGCTATATCTTGAGTCTACGTCAGACAAAATGACAGAGGTACATTCTTACACAGTTGCCAGATGAAATCGTAAGAGATTAGAAGTTAATAATAATTCATCGATCTCTTGTTAGCCATTCAAGGAATATCAGTGGGTCTATGAATTTTTTCTCGACAATATTACATATAATTTTTTTAAGCTTGTGATCGTCTGTTACAAGAAGTTTCATAAGAAATATGAACTACATCCTAATGCATAAATATGAGATTTTCGTATAAAAATATACATGGTGTCTGTAAGAGGTTGGGACATGGCTTGGCTGTGGATACCGGCCAACTTACCTATATCCAAAATCTTCTCGTTGAGTTGAAGTTTTTTTTCGAAAAAAATAATTTTGCTCATGAAAAGAGTAGGCTGAGATCGATTTTCATGATTTTTGGCATGGCATGTTCTGTGACTGTAAGTCACGTTTTGAGATGTTTTTGATCATCATCAGTGACCTGCAAGTGTTGCAAAAAAACATGTTGCCGTACAAATTTGGTTATAACATTTCAGAGGTTTTTTTCCAGAAAGATATTCCCTTCAGAAATATTTTCTGTATCATGTTAATTTTTGATAAGTCTCGAGGTTCATTTGTAAATAAATAATTCCTGATCTGAGGCATCTTATACATTTTTCAGAAAAATAATCTGGTTGGGACATGCAAAGTAATATACATGTACAAAATTTCATTATCTCAGCACCAAGGGTTTCGGAAACATTTACAAAAAAAACATCATATCGGGCGCTCTTTCAGATGGCTATAACTCCCCAGGAGCCATTTCTAGGCTCATGTTTATTAATTAACTTATTTTAATATTTTTGTTCCTAGAATGTATGGTAGAAAATTTTTCCATGTAATTTCGGGACACCCTGTATATACACTATTGATGGCTTATGTTGTTGTGCCAGTTCCCAAAAATAAGCCAAAAACACCATCCCCGAGAAATAATTGCATGTCTTTTTCATCTTCCATTCTATAAATCTTGAATTCGCGGTTTAGTAACCTACTAAACAACCACTACGTCTACAATTTTTGAATGAAATCATAGAATCAAATTAACAGATATTCAATAAATTCAAAAAGGTTTCCTCAGCCACGCATGTTCAATTGTCACTATAAGAACAACAGCCTACTAATTGAAAACTTCAAACACATTGATAATTTTCTGATTTTGAAACAGGGTGATTCAGAAGTAAATGGCATCCTCTCGTGGGCGTAATCCAAAAAGTTTCTATCAAATTTGGTCCGAAAATGATTCCTTAGGCAGCTATGCTCCAAGACGATTTTTTCTCTATTATTCAAAAACCCTTTTCAACTAAATTTTGAAAACTGGTGTACGGTCTAAACTTTTTGAGGTAAATAAGATTGAAAAATCAAGATAATTGTTGAATAAAATGTTAGTAAAAAAGAGTTGTTTTTTTTCTATGGTTATAGAGATTAATTTTCATTACATGTGCAGATTAAAAAGTTTCCAAAGCCGATTTTCTCGTAAATGGTACTCTCTATCGAATTGAACTAAGAGTACCTTTTTCAAGTAACAATCTAGAATTTTATGATTTACAAACAAAATCACAATAACCTAAAGAGTAAAAGAAAAAGGGATGATTTTACCCTTACTCTCCCCCGCATGTGACGCCCCTAGATACAATTTTCAAATTTTGAATATAGTATCTTATTCACCATCAAATGTTCATATGGTACACCAATTTTCAGAATTTGATTGTAAAGGATTTTCAAATTATAGGGGAAAATCGTCTTTAACATGTCCTACTTGAAGGGGCCTAGCTTTCTTAGGAATATTTTCGGGCCCATATATATTAAAGGATGTCGCTTACTTTTGAATCACTCTGTAAATTGTAATATTGTGACGGTGAAAAAGTTTGGCATTCCATCTCTGTCGACAGGTTATGAAATGTCACTTTTAATAAATTACTTTTTTTCCGCGGGAAAAAAGTGAGTAGTTTTTTCCCGGATAGGGTGAGTCATGACTAATCAGCCATAGCCTAATGGCGTATAGAGGAAGTCAAAGTGAGTTAATATATATGTGAAATAGTTATTTATTATACAAGGGAAAAAAGTTGTAGATTTTAGCTCCAGGTTGTGTTGAGACAAAAACCGTGAGCTAAAATCTAATATTTTTCCTATGTATAATACACTATTTTTTTCTGTGACAGAAGAAAGGACGAATCAATATTGAGAAAATATTACATTATTTCGAAATCTGAAAATTATCGACGTGAAATTTCAAGTTTTCAACAGTAGGGAAACCTGCGTTGTAGGCATCTTTATCTTTTTTTTTTAACTAATCAAATGTCACTTCTGTCGGTCTAATTCTGTGATTCGATTTCAAAAAATTGCGAAATTAGTGGTTGTTCAGTAATATACGTAACCGCGAAGTCGAATGGAAGATGAAAGGACTTGCAGTTTTTTCTCGCTGACTATAGCACAAAAAAAGCCATCAACAGTGTATATATATGTGATATATATCCGGGAAAAAATACTCACTATTTCCCCACGGGTAAAAAGTAATTTATAAAAAGTGACATTTTATAACCTGCCAACAGAGATGAAATGCCAAACCTTTTTCCCGTCACAGAAAAAATAGTATATTACACACCGAGGTGGGAAGTGAGTCTTTCCTGTTGTGAGATTAGTTAGTTAACCGAGACGCAAAGCTTCTTCTTACCGAGGTTTGTATACTATTGTATTTACAACCATCATATTTCGATCAAAATCAATAAATCTATGTTTCGTTCTGAACATACCTGAATTATTACATGAATGAGGGCGGGAAGTGAGGGCGGAAAGTAGTGAGAGGCGGGAAATGAGGGCGGGAAGTAGAGGTGTGTAATGTGACACTTCCCAACCTTCAATGACGTTAGTAATGACAACATTACATATATGGTTGTAAATAAAATATATTTTGCTCATTCCTAACAGAAATACAGGGCATTGGTTGAATTCGGGGCGAAACTTTAATGAACGATATTTCAGGAACGTCTCGATGTTATCGCCTGCAATTCACCAGCAACTTACCTCTACTAACACTCCATGAGATGGCGTACTATGGAAAAAAAATCCAGATCCGGACTTGGGAAATTAATTTTCTTTATTAATGTCATAACTTTGACTATCTGGATCGTATTTTTCAAAAACTCTGATCATAATCAGAAAGATTAGGAAAAATACTACGAGTGTATCTTTGCATTTTACACTGCATACCTCGACCATATTGTTGTCACATTGTTCATCAAATTCATTCAAATCAATTTCTTGCATATCAATGTATCATAAGAGTTGGGAATAGGCTCTATGCTATTCGATAAAAAAAATCCAGGATGAACTTGCTTTTCTGGAAGAGACCTTTCAAATATGAACACAAATAATTTCTAGTTGAAATCTGCTTCTACAATATCAATGTATCATAAGAGTTGGGAAGAGGCTCTATTCTATTCATGAAAAAAAATCCAGGACGAACTTGCAGACCATTCAAATATAAACACAAATAATTTCTAATTGAAATCTGCTGCTACATGTGAAAATATGGGAACATTGTACTCAATATGAACACTTCTTGCTCATTCGGAATATGTCTATCCGAATCAGTTATACATGCCAACTCATACTACATAGAGCAACTTTTAAAGAACTATTGAACATGATCTCATTGCATGTGAACTCTGTCAATCAGAGAATTAAATTGTGAGTTTGGTGTTTTCACGATTCAGAAAGCACTGAAAAAGAAGGCTGTGGTAGATGTGAGAAAATGGATTGTAAGAGGTATTTTCTTTCAACAGGATAAGGCACTTCCACATTACTCAATACAGGTGAGAGAATACCTAGACACCCAATACTCTAATCACTGGATAGGTCGTGGCGGCCCTCATTCTTGGCCTCCTATTACACTATTATCTATGAAGACATATTGAACGATTGGTTTATCAGACTGAAGTCAACACCAGAAAGGAACTGAGGGATTGTTACAGATTGAGATATAATCAGAAATAATGGGCAAATTATTGGAAAAACCACGAGAGATCTCCCGAAGAGATGCAGAAAATGTTAAAGAACTTGGAGGGACACATTTTGAGAATCATCGTTAAAAATATCAAGATACAGATAAATCTTTTTCGAAAATCATAATTGTGTTGTACTTTTTTCCGAAAATCGAGTCCAGTCTTGAATTTTTTCATTGAAAAAAAAACTATTATCAGCTTTGCTGCTATATCAATATGTAAAAAAATATTTCTATACTTTGAGTCGAATATAGAGAGTAATCTGCCTCGATGAGAACAAAGAAACATTCATTGGTATTTTGTTTGAAATTGTTTTACCAAATCGATCGAAGTGTGCCGTACAAATTGGAAAGCTGCACTTGTGGTGTTTCTCCTCTGATTCGCGTCGGGAGACAACACAACCTCAAGCTAAAATTTGCTTTTTCCGTTGTATACCTAACTATTGAGTCTAATTTGCTTTGGAAATTATCTATCAGAAGGAAATGAATCGAATTTGTCATTGAACATTTGTAATGCTACAATATAGACCATTTATACTGCTTCACAGTGTTGATAATACACTGTTATTTCTCAGTTCCCTGTTATAAGGCAACTCTGAATTTTTACAAATTAAGCTGTCTTATCGAATGAAATGTTCAAATTTTACATAAAAATACTCACATTTGTCTATACTGCACGGATCTTTCTGATGTAACAAAAGCTCTGCCCCTTGTACCCCTAGCGATTCTTGTGGAAGCCAGCATATCTCGACTAATTTTGTTATACCCAGTGGGTCCAGTTGGTTGTGCACCACACGTCTCCAAAGCAACAAAATCGTCTACGTGCAGCGAGGGAGGCCTGGAAGTATTCGGCGGCCTCGATCTGAATAAATCAGGACGCTGAGGAACTGTTCTTGGGAAACCTCTCGTTCTGGTAGGTGTCACTAAAAAAAATAGGATAAAATAGCGTAGAAAAAAATCCAGAATAGGCAAGTGTTTTTTTAAATTTAATATAATCATCACTCAACTACTTTTCAATTCCATATTTTTCTAGATTTTCCGGTCGATTTTTAAGGTCCTAGAATAATCATCAATGCCACGGTAATTTTCAAACGGCTAGAAATTTACCCAAAATAGCAACTGTCACTATTTTGTTGGGGCAGGCACAGTTGTCATATGTTGAAATACATTCGAGAACTTGAGAAATTATTATTATTTATTCAATGATTCATAAATTCTCAATTATCTATTGGTAATATTCTTAACTAGCTATGAAAAATCTACTAGACTTTACTAGAGGACATTTGCTCCGGTAAACGTGATAACACGGCAAGGGTCGTGGGTGTTGTCTTGTCAGTTCTCAGCACAGCACATGTTGCCAAGTCTTCAGCCAACATTTACATGATATTTTATTATGGAGTATAAGAAATACCTTCACAAACTGGTTGCTCGAATAAGTCACAAATGAATAACTATAATATCATAGCTTCCTCCCATTAGGTCGAATGAACTATTTGATTTGGATGTAGTTTAATTCAACGACAGGACTCTTATCAACTTTTCAATAACTTGATTATAGTTGGTGACTTGACTACCTTGCTTCATAAGTAGGAATGGAAGATTATCTGACCAATAAGAGCATAACAACTGACGTCATCAGGTATCAGCCGTTTCCCAGATTTCCATAACATGGCTGCCACGACGGCACGTTGGAAATGTGCTCTGATATTCAACAATTTTGAACAACGTATGGACAGATTATTTACATAAAAAACGCGTAAGAAGTGTTACAAACCTTAATTTAGGTTCCTAATGACACAGTGGAGTAACTGAATGCCAATTATTCACAATCAGTCCAGTAGTCTATTTGATAAGTTATCAAGTTCTTTATTCAAAAAATGTTTCCACAACAGATGTTAGGTGATGAGAAATTATACCACACCCTAAATTTCGAGACAGTGGATAGATTCGTTCCATCTGATCAAGATTCTAAAAGCTCAGTAAGCACTTTATGAAGGGTGTTTTTCAAGAGACTAAAGCCATTTTTCCTCGAAGTTGACCACACAAACCGGGTCAACAATAAGTTAACCAGTCAATTTTCCTCGAAGTGTATTCGAAACTATGACGTAATAGTTGACCAACAGCTCAAACCAGCTCACAGAGATAGTTCACGGAGTAGTTAAGGCTTTTGATTGGGCTCTTGTTGTTATAATCTGAGGTTCTATATAATTGATGAGAAATAGTTATTTATGCAACAAGTGCAAAAAGTGAATGTTTATTGCACGAGTTGCATACAACATTTTTTCTACGTTCATGCAAAAAGCAAAAATAGATTTATTGAGGTGCGGCACTAGGTACAATTCTGTTAATTGTCAGAATTAATTTTTGACTGACGTTTCTTTAACCATAGTTGCAGTATAAAAAATGTTTGTCATGATGACAGCACGTTGAAGTAGAATGACAGATGAGTGCAATAAAAACTTTATCGCACTAAGTGCAATAAAGAACTTCTTTTTCCACTAAATATAGTTCAATAAAGTTCTGCTTTTTGCATGAATGTAGAAAAAAATAATTATGCTCCTCAAAGAGATGATTATGGATTCAAACGAAGTATTTTTCGATAAGAGATCTCATCATATTATTGATGAAGATACATATTTGATTTATTGTTAATATGTATGTTAAATTCGATGTAGGTTATTACCTAGTTTCTATCTATGATATATTTTTATTACAGATGATGAATTTCTTATTCAATATATTAGTATTACTACTAAAACCAAACAATAAACAAAAACAGTTGATAAACTGACATCTGTCAAGCATCAAAAGTAAACCGTGAGGTCATAATAAAGTTACCGCGACGTCATCATAAAGATAACCTGGTTTGCCTGATTAGGTTCGAGGAAAAATGAATACAGATATCTTAAAATTATTTAAACACACACATTATGGTCATGGCTGTTATTGCAGCTTCCTTGGATAGATGATTTCGAAACTATAGTGTTATAAAGATATTATTTGTGGTATATGAGCAGAGCGGCTGGCTAGTCCAGTTTACACCACTATTTCCAGGAGTTGATGCCATATATCGGAAATGGGAATCGGATATTCGCCCAAACGGATAAACGCCCGGAAGCACCCGAAGCACCCAGGCCGCTTTCGTGCCAAAGTTACTTTGGAAATTAAATATTGATAAGGTATTTCGTGCGTATTCCGGGCGTTTTTTAGATGATTTCAAGAGATTCCAAATTTACCGCAACCCAAAAACATCAGGAAGCATAAATATGGCGGTTTTTAATCACTGTTGTTTCTATAATAACTGACTGAGTACAGGGTGTCTCAGAATGACATAAAAAGATTTCAATCATAGATTCTAGTAATAAAAATAGTAAAAAAAGTTCATTTAACATGAGCCCATAAATGGCTTCCTGGGGAGTTAAAGCTTAAAGCTTGAAGAAAGACGGCCCGAGATGCTGGTTTTTTGAAAATATTTCCGAAACCCTCTGTGTTGAGATAACGAAATTTTGTACATGTATATTACTTCTTTTCCAAGCGGCATAGAAAGTGGCTTTTCTCAACAGGTACAAAAAGTTAGTTGCTATGCTACGATCTAAGTAATTTCAATGACATTGGTAATCAAAATCGAGATTGGGTGAACACAAAATGATGGGAGTTTTCAATAAAAAAAAATTACACAAAATTGGCCTAATAACATTTGAAAAAAAAATGTTTCACACGGCAGAATGACAAAAGCACTTAAATAGAGAGCAATCATGCCACATGTGAGTATATATATCAAACAATCACACTCACCCTGTTGAAATCCGCGAGCCACTAGTCTTGCCTTTTTTATAACTTCACGATTTTGACATTCTTTCTCCCTAACCATCTCGAATTTAACACTATCACACCTTGGGGTCTCTCGATTATTTCCACTCATATCCAAAGCACCCAGCTCACTTTTGATTGCTTCAATCCAGCAACTTGCCTTTAAAATTGCTTCTAAATAAGTCTGGGGTATGTCAGTCTCAAGATCACCTGTCAATAGTGCCATCATCATGCTCAAAATCAACTACATAATCATTGAATCTTGTAGGTCATTTCACCTATCTTCTTGGTATCTGTCTTCCATTCTGTTGATCAAGAACTTCATTGTCACTCAATACTTTCTCTGTTAGAGTAAAACTAGAAAACTCATCATCACTACTGTCAGTGTCACTTACCTGTTTCACGTCTTCTTGGCAACTAATTTCTTTATATTCTTCTGTTCTTGTCTGATTTTCAAATTTGGTATCATCAAATACAACATTTCTTTGAGATTACCTTTCTGTCTTTAGAATTCCACAAACGATATCCATTGTCTGTGTAATCAACCAAAAACACTTTCTGGGATCTAATTTGTTGGATCGCCATTCAGTGGGTACATGTACATAACTAGTATATCCAACAACCTCAATTTTTGATAAGATAGGTGTTTGTTTGTACCATATCTCAGCAGGAATTTTCTTATCTGGTAATGTAGAAGATGAAGTTAGGTTTGCCAAATAAGCTGACACACCTATAGCTTCTTCCCAAAACGACTTCTCCATCTTTGCTTCAAAAATTAGACAACTAGCTTCATCTAATAGGGTTATGTTGTATTATCTTTCTGCCACGCCGTTATGTTCTGGGGTACGAGGCATGGTGTATTCATTCTTGATACGTTTTTGGCTGCATACCTTTTTTAATTGATGGGATACATACTCCCCACCATTGTCGCACTTCAATCATTCTGGCAGTCTTAAATTTATTTTCCACAAGAACTCTAAATATTCTCTGAACTTCTCGAAAGCTTCACTTTTATTTTTCATGAAATAAATGATTGCAAAATGAGAGTAGTGACCAAAAAAAGTGATGAAATACCGCTTATCATTATGACTTACTGGGTTCATAGGTCCACAAACATCGCTGGAGATACATTCTAGAACATCCTTAGCCTTTCTTTCATAAGGTGAAATTTCAAATGGTTTCCTAGTTTGTTTCATTTGAAGGCAGACTTCACAGACTTTTTCTGATGGACACTATGATGAATGACCCATCCGTTGCATGACATGTATCTATATACAAATCTACTACATATAGACCACCCTGTAGCTGCCCTGATACTAGCACATTTTCATTGCCCTTCATCACAGTAATCTACTAACTCTCAAAAATTAATCTCATTCTTTTGTTTTAAATTTTCTTCACTGAGAGAAATTTGTGGGAAAGATTTTCACATACCAGGATATTTTCCAGCCTGACTTTTAGTCCACTTTCAGTTCCAAAAGTAAGGTTCCCTCCACATCTGCTTCTACACAGTGCCCTTCTTTTGCCATCTTCATTGAGTGATTTACTTGCTTTTTGTTGGTCAATAACTTCTCATATTCAACCATTACTGAATGGTTTGTACAGCCTGAATCCACCACAAACTTTATCGAATTTTCCTTACATTAATTTTTTCGTTGGACAGACATGTGATAAAATATACTTCCTCTTCTTTTTCAGCTATGTTGACTTTTGTGTTTACTTTCTTGGTTTCATTCTTCCTCGTGGGACATAGAGATTTCTTGTGTACACGTAAACCACAAGAGTAACACTTGAGAGAAAACTTTTTCTTGTAGGGTTTCTTCTCACTATGAAATGCAGCACTAGCTCCTTCAGCATTTGTCTCTAGACAGCTTGTTTTGCATTTTTGCTCTTCAGCAAGTAGCTTACTTTTCATAAAAGCTAACTGCCACTTCGTGAAAACAAAATATCTATTGCTGTGACAACACTTTGATATCGAGGCTCTGATATTGATGTCCAAAGCTGTCATATCACTTCCATGTTATCTATATTTCCGCCAGCTTTCTTGTTTCACAACTGTCCTTTCAAATTTCACAATATATTCATTCAGTGGATTGACTGCACTGTACCTCAAATTGCGTAATTTTCGCATCAACTGAACTTGGGATGCTATACCTCTTTTCTCAAATGCCCTCATCAGTGTACGTATTCATGATCTCTTTTGCAGTTTTCTTAGTTTTTATCATCTCGAGTACATTGTCATATAATCATTGCACAATTAGATTTCTTGCACGCAGATCCTTCTTCTTCCGTGCATCCACATGGTTTGCATCGGTTGGGGTTTCCTCAGAAATTATAGTGAGTACATCATGATGCTCTAGGAGCAACTTGATCTGAAATTCCTAATTTTCGTACCGTGTACCGTCGAAGGGTTTCACTTTGACCGTACACATTTTTCAGTTTCCGCTATGTGTATGACACATCTTGACCGCCTAACCTCACAAACGTTTTCGCATTAAAATCACCTGGTTCAATTGTCACACGTTGTTAAAACTACTGGGCCCATAACCTGAAGACTTTGCTGAGTTAATATTAAAACACTTTAATTCTTCAAGGGCTGTATTTGTATTAAAAAGATCAAAAGAAAATGTTTAGCATACATTAATTAGCGACTGTGTCATGTACAATACTGAACGTCAAAACCTGACAACTGACATCTGTCCACTGTCATCATAGAACCATACTTCACATGAGATGAAACATTCAAGTACATTACCGTAATAAGGGATTCTTTCAAAATGAGAATTGATTTGTTGCTGAAACGCAAGCGATATTTTCAACATAACTCACCAAAAGGTTTCTTCATATTTTCATCATCGATTCTCTTTTCCTTATCATCGACAATCTCAGTTCGAGATATTCTACACAATTTCTCAATATCCTTGATTAAGCTATATTCTGGTCTCAAATTCTGTCGACAAATATCTATCAAATCACAAGGAACCTGAAAGAAATGTTTGAATGATTTATAAACTAATGAAAAGCAGACAAACTTTCCGTATAACGTATAGAGTAGATAAAATGACAAACATATTTCACTAGTACTCGCGTTCTTTCGAAAGAATTCATTTCGATAAACTTCATGTTAACTCAGTTCAGCGGAAGTGAATTACTTCAGTTAGTTCAGAACGAAAAAATATCACTAACATCGCCTTTTGATGACAATATGGTTAAAAAAAATTCGAACGACTACAGAGGATCGAATGTTTAATAGTAGAGGAGGCCAAGAGGCTAAATGGGGATTTACTGGTCCCCATTAGATTATGAAGATAAGATGCTGCTCACTAGGGTAGAAAACTTTTATCATAGACTGCGAAGTAATAAATTATTGATTGTTTTTGAGTAACCTGGTATACATATCTGCTCCAACGCTTTCCTGAATACATAAAAGCATCCATTTATGGAACTCCTCCAAAATTAGTCCATTTAAAAAAATGCAAAAAAAAATTTTAGCCACAGTAGTTTTTGGCAAGAACTCGCAAACGTCTCGAGGTATGGTTGCTATTTATGAAATGCCCGAATAAAATATGAGCGTAGTTGTATTCCGACAAAATGAGGGGGCGGAGAAATTTTTTCAAAATGCACGAAACTTTGTTTCACCCTGTATCATGGGTCCTGATCAATTTAGAAGAAGCTGTAAGGAACGATTCGAAAGACGATGAAAAAGGCATTCAGAATCTGGGCGGCAATTCAAAATTCGTTCAATATTTTAGAAATTACGTGAAGTCAAACTTGATGCCAAATTTCACTATTAACGTTTCAATTGACGCCCAGTAAATGACAGAAATTTTGAATTTTACATTAGTAGAAACAATAAAATACTCACATGTTCCAATTCATTTTCGCCTTCGTCCGACGGTACTGCTAACCAATAACTTGCAGTTAATCTTTCATCACAAACATCAGAGGAACTGAAGATTGCTCTACATGAAAACTGAACCAACAAACTTTCTGGTGCGGCCAGAATGATTTCATTACCGAAGTCTTTGTTAATTTCGGAATAGTCTTCTTCCAGTATTTTGAGAAAAGCAGTTAGGCCTTCTAGGAAACTCTCGAATGTGCTATTTTCTGCAACAGCTTCCTGAAATTGAATTGAAAATTATTACATTATGTGAAATATGCGATGGCGATTCAAAACTGAAGTATTGTAAATTCTTTTCATTATCAAACTCATTTCAGTGTGACCTGGGGAAAGTGACCACATGATCATATCTGTTACGGTAGCAAATTCTTTCAAAGTGATCCGAAAACAATGAAATGCTTTTAGTAAAATCGGATTGACTAAATTATCTCAAAGTGGGGTTGGCGAACCCTCAGGAAATCATCATTGAACCAAATGAAAAACAGGAGGTGAAATATTGAAATTATGACAATTCTTTATGAATTTCAATTCGCCAGTGGCGCCCTAGTCTTTCCGAATGGATCAATATTAGAAGACTGAAAAGATATCACGTACCGTGTGACACACTTGAGATGAAGACACTCTTGTATTTTCTTGTATTTCAGTAATTTTTTCAAGCAGAGATTTGATTTTTGGTACAGATGTAGACCTTCAATTTTCACACTACTCAGCCCGAGTGACATCCTTAAACTTAGACACAGTAATCCCGCAAAAAGGGCTAATTCTCGATATTTTGCTTCGCGTTAGAGATACTGAAAAAAGTTACTCGAAAAAGTTGCTCAGAAATCGATTTTGACCCTACATACCGAATTTCAACGCAAAATTCGATTTTTTAATTTTGAGAGATAAGCTAGTAAAGGAGACTGAATTCGATTAACATTTGATAAAATGATAATTTTCAATTCCAGTTATTTCAATCATTTATTCCATTGATTCTAATTATTTTATCGTTCCTGTAGATTTTTATTCAGAACCATCAATCGAATATCGGACTTGAATAATATGAAAATTACGAAAAATTCAGAATCTGAATTTTGCGTTGAAATTCGGTTTTCAAAGTCGAACTCGATTTCGAAGCAACTTTTTCGAACAACTTCTTTAAGTATCTCCAACGCGAAGAAAAATTTGCTCTTTTCGCGGGATCGCAGTAGGCTGGGTTTAAGGCTGCCACTCGGGCTGAGTATCGCGAATAGTTCGGCCAATGAAAGTCTTTCTCTGTACCATAATAAAATCACTGCTTTCAAAAATGACTGAAATATAGGGGTGTCTTCATCTTCAGTGTGTCACACTGTAGTATAGCTTGGACTCACCCAATTTCGAATCGATAGCTTTTGTTTCAAGTGATAAAAATTCAAAACTAAAATTTAAATGAACTTGAACATTCCATGGCAACATATTTTAAGTCAAAGTTAGACAATTCAACATTGAGGCACCCTGTAAATATTTAGGTTCTCATATTGAGAATAGAACATCAATAATAGTTAACCTTAATTTATCGATTATCTTATCAACTCACCTTCAAAATAGTTTGCAACGAAAAAAATTGATGATTTTCAGGTTTTCCTTCACTTGTCCATCCAATAAGGCTTTTGAGTTCACTCAAAGAAAGTTTTGATTTCCTTGGAGTATATAATAAGGTCGTATCACTTTCTTCATCTGTCGAATTGCACACTCTCAAAAATTCTATAAGGGTATTTAGTGTAGAGAGACATTCTCCATTTTCTTTTGAAAAGTTTGTCGAAAGTTTATCTAACAGCACGACAAAAACATCAGTCTTCTTAAGCAGGTGTTCTTTCAAATGATAAAACCCATAATCATGCTCTGATAGTAAAAGCAATATCCTCAAAATGGGTAAATAGGTGACAAAAGAATTTTCTGAAATCAGGTGCTCCCAAATCATCTGTATAAATGCCAAAAGATGATCTTTAATAGGCAAAGCATTAGTCAGAAATTCGTCTGATGTTATTACACCTCCTGAAACACTGTTCTGCATTAAAGTAATCTCTGTATCACAAAAACTCTGTATGATACTCAGTATACATTCTTGACATTGCACATGACTGTTGATAGTTGAGCTTGTTTTCAACACTTGTGCAAAGGCAGGTATCAAAGAGACATACCGTTCTTCTGTTTTGAGAGTTACATTACTGTTAGTGTGTATCACATGTAGCACAGCACATTTGATAGTGTTATGTGTAACTAGACATGCTAGAAAATTCAATAATCGAGCGATATGACTGTTACAAGGTGCAATTTCAGCATCTTCTTTCGGTATCAGAGCATCGTAAATATTGTCAAGGATTCCTCTTGCTATCATTATTGCAGAGTTGGCCGACAAGTCAGCAATTTGCACACAAATACGTCTGAGAAGATTGAGCAACTGCGTCTGTGTCGATATACAAAGTTTATTTACCATATCTTGCATTATAGCACTATGGGGATGCAGGTGTGCTGACCAAAGCTTTCGTAAATTTATAACCCATGAAATTTCATCTTTTGACAATTCATCTACTGTCTGAATTGGTAGCGGCAATGGTAGGATTTCCGAAAGTATAAGCAAACCTGGGATGAAAGTATGGGGTGACTGTGTCACATATTTTATTATCTCTCCACACATTTGAGTCCACAGAGATTTTGTTAGCGAATCTTTTTCATTTATTTGATCAGAAACAGGTTGAGTATACACTAAGAGGGTATCAACTATGTGAGATTTGACTTCTTGAGCAAAAAAGAATCCTGGAGACGTAGGCGGGAAGCTATGAAGCAAACTGTACGTTTGCAGAAAAATAGGAATGGCTGTCAGATCTCTGAAGTTTGTATTTCGGCATTGAATTACATAAGATAACATCTGTTTAACAAGCAGAATAGTAGGTTCGATTACATTCAATAAAGACCAACCTTGACTAGAGACGAAGGCTGATGAATGGATGCTTGGTTGCTCATAATGGTCATTTATTTTTTGCAAGACTCTGCCTAAAAGGCTCATTCCATCCAGGGTATAAAGTTGTAGAATAACATGCTTATACTTCAGCTCTATGTAATGTGATAATGGATTCTGTGAACTCGTCAGCTGTGATTTTTCAGCAATCCCAAGGTATTCAAGAATTCTCAAGGCTGTGGTTAAAACACCCAAATTAGATACGGCGTTTTCACAGTTTCTATCAATTATTTCCACAAAGGATGCAATGTTGTCGTATGAGAGAGTGGGCATACCTTCAAATGGTATCATATATGACCGTAACTCGATTAGTTTGAGACTCACACTCTCTTCAAATATGTCTTGTTGGTTAATTATATGTATCAACATTTTCGAATACTTTTCCATAATTGGAATGTTTGAGACAACTGACACAGTAATCAGTAATAAATCCACAATATAAGCAATACCAGTTGATTTTTTGACTCGTGCTATTATTGACTCTGTTTTCTCTTTTGTAACAATGAATTCTAAAAATTGCAGAATGCTTTGTATGTTATTGTCCAAACCTAATACTTCTGCACATGAAACTTTTCCAATAGGATTAAAAGTTAAACAGAACAACTCATGTAGGTGATCTATAACTTCTGAAGTGTCACAGTCAAAGTTAAATGAACGGCCAGTGGCCAAAAGGTAGTCAATATGATAAAGAGCATGAATTTTATAAGCTATCTTGAGCCCTAAATGATGGGACTTCATTTCTATGTACTCATACTGAAATTGGTCATCCGTTTTACACAAACATTTCAGTAGAACATTAACTGTGTCTACATTTTCAGACAAATAATGCAACCCTTCTTGTTTGTCCAATAATCTCGATATTATCCCAAATATCGGAGTCTTTATCAATGGCAAATTCAGTGTACTATGATAGGTGAGAAGTAAAACAAAACACTGCAAGACACTGAACATTTCAAAGTATTCAACAAATACTCCATATGACTCGTTTCTAATAATTTCAAATTGTGAAGAAACGGGTAAAAACCTCTTTGGTTGTGAAAGTACAAAGGGACCGGTATGGCAGTATCGAAGTATTTCATTTAAGGATTTGGTTATAAGATTAATTTCCTCAGCTGATATATCATGAGAAATATCTCCTAACTTCACTACAATAACATGTAGCTTTCTTATTATTTCGAATAAATTCAGCTTCCTCAAAATTGACGATATAGCGAATTTTGCACGTACCAACGGCTCATTCATCATGTAACCAACTAAAGTCTTATAGCCATTTGCATCATCAACAGGCAAATCATCATTGAAACCGTTCTGTTTGTCTGGGTCTTTAGAACTACTCAGTAAGAATTTTTCTATAGAAAATTTGTGTTGTAGATAGCTGTCCAAAGCTTTGAGGATAATGAGTTTTATTGATAATGCCATGAATTCCTGTTCATATAGGTTTAGTAATTCCTTATGTATGTTGAAATCATTTTGCCATAGAAGTTTCAAAAAATCCAGACATTTACAACAATAATCTGCTAATCTCACTCCACATTTGATGTGTCTTATTTTATAAGCAGGTTGGTCTTGAATATTGGCTAATTCATAATTTAAAGATATTTTAAGCCATTCCATTATTGTTTCAACAATGAATTTCACTTGATCAATCAATTCGTTATCTTCGTGTTTCAAATTCTGAACGTTCATCGATTTGGTATCAATATACAGTTTTACTATATCACAAAAAGTGGACGAAGGTCCTACAGTACCCATAACCCTTTCACATAGGTGTATGAATTCTTCTTTAATTTCCGTGTTTAGTCTATCGAATGAACTCAATTCAAACTTGGTTATACCAGATTTGAAATAATCATCAGATATTCCAATGCAATTTCTTAGATTATCATCAATATCAATGGAGTTTTCTGTGATGTAAAAGTTCACAGGTTTGGGATAATGCAACAATGGTGTTACGCCAGGGGTGAAGAGTTTGATTATGTCATCATTATTGGTATATGTGGTATAGTCGTAGTCCAAATCTTGATAGTGATCTCCGTCATCTAAAATATCTTCGTCACTCAAAATTGGCTCAAATTCTTCAACATCTATCGGAGCAGGTTCTTCAATGGGTGAAATGTGCACTTCTTTGGGTTCATTGATTGGACTTTTATTCTCTGATTCTTCCCCAATATCTTTTTCAGAACTGTTTTCCTGTTTATTGATATTTTTAGATTCTGTAATCAGTATCTCTTTGTTTTCGAGATTAAGTGGGGTATGAGGCCGCTTTGGGGACTGAATTGGAGGAGTCCTGGGACGTTTCCTGTCATCTCGCTCCCTCTCATCCCTATTGTGAGATCTTCTATAGTTATCGTCATGCTTATAACATCTTTCTCTCTCCTTCTCATGACCCCTTTCTTTTTCTCGTTCACTCCAGTCATGCTCCGATCGTTCTGTAGGAATATATTCTTGATGATCATGATCTTTCCACTCTGCTTCCTTATCATTTTCATTGTCTCTATATTCACGAGAGGGTCTTTCAAGCTCACCACTTTGTGATCTGGAAAAGCGCTTCTCTCTGTCTCGACGTAGTTCTGGTCTATTGTGATCTCGTTCCGAAGTTGCTTGTTTCTGAAAAACAATGCAAATCATTATTTCATGCTGTCATATTCACGATATGAGTAATTTCACCATTGATCATCTATAAAATGAGGGATACTGGTACTGGTACTGGTAGGGGACGTTTCCACGTCAGCAACTAGTCCCCAATGGGACCTTTTTGCCAACCCCAAGTGTTTTCAATGACTGATGTGGTTCGCTCAAGAGAGCTGGCTAACATCCTTTTCAGGCACCGCCCCCCAGCTCTCTTTTCAGAGTTTTTCAGCTGTGTTTTGTAGGCTAGTAATGTACTCACTACCATATGCGCAGTGGCAGGCCTGCTAACTATCATCGTTAACCCCCGAGACCGAGGTCTACTTAAGCAGCTGGTCCGCTCTCACGCTCAGCTGGTAGTTTTCTACACCCACCTACATACACCGTCCTACTTCTTCTCTGATGCTCACAACCACATCATCATATCTTTCTGCGTGTTCTGTGTAGGCTTTGTTACTAACTCCATGCGCCACTTTAGGAGCAGCACTGTTAATTGGAACGCAACAGCGAATCGTGCAGGACTATCCCCAGCCGATGCTCCGAAACAATATTTAATGAGGGATATATCAGTTACTGACCCAAAAGGGTCCGGATTGACTATCTACTCTCACTTCAAGAGGCATCACTACCATACAGTTCCACACTGTTGTTTATAAAAAAACTAGATATGAACTGTAACCTGAGTGTTAGTTTTGTTGAAGAATATTTTAGAATGACAGTAGACGACCTCTAGGTTAGGTTAGGTTAGGTTATAGGTTCCATGTGAGTGAGGCGAATACCTACCGCGCCTCCATCGCGACCCCAGATGGGTCTATTATGGCTCATCTTAAGATGTTGCGGTTCACTATACAATTCACTTCTCTCTACAAAGTCCATGGCTGCAACAGGTTCCTCTAAGTTCAGTATTATTCTGATATTCATAATAGCACACAAACACGAGTGAACTTCCAGAACTTCATGCCGGACAGGCGAAAAGAACAACCTATAGCTACACTCACTATCTACAGGCTCATTCATGAAAACTGTTGGTTAGCCGAATTAGGCGGCGTTCACAACCAAACTTTTTACGATTTGCTTCTTACGTTTCGTACTCTGATTGGTGAGGCAAAATGTGTAATTGAAATGACGCAAAAAGCTGAAAATATTCAGCTTTTTGCGTTGCAAGAAGCCATCGTCTGTGAAAATAGTAAAAATAGACAAATGATATTGTTATACAAATGGGTAATACTACTGTTAGTTCTTATTCGAATAGAACAATATATGTATGGAACATTCTTTATCCACGGAATAATGGATAGGAATACTGTTCATTTTATTATTTTCTCCTTGAGAATTAATTTTTCTCTTCAAGTGTTGAATAAGGATCAATTTACGTCACCGCCAGTTCTATGAATATTATTAATTATCTAATCAATATTATTGTTATGATTATTTCACTTTATTTCAGGATGAAACACGAATGACAAAATCAAGGCAACTGAGAAAAGCCGTAAAAAGTCACGTTGATTTTTTTTTAGTTGTGAATGACATTTGCATAAGTTTAATTCACGTTTAATTTCAGATTCTGCTTCACCAATCAGAATACGAAACGTAAAAAGCAAAACGAAAAAAGTTTGGTTGTGAACGCCGCTTTAGGATATTGAAATATAGTAGTAGAGAAAATAGTAGTTGCACATGGAGAACCGACCACCTGGCATCTGGACAAGTGAATACATTAATTTGTATTGCTCTTTTTGAATGTTCACATGATGCGTATCTTAGAGAAAAACAAATGACGTACGCCTCATTTTATCTCAACTTGATATATAGGTAGTGTCTTCTCGTCGATAACATGCATATTTTCCGAGTTACCGTCAAAAAACTCAAATGTCGCTGTTTTGGCGACTATCTAGGAACGGTCAAGAAAATGTTGTTTGAAAACTGCAAATTCAGATTAAGCACCTCAAAAACCATGCAGAACCGTAGATGAACAGAACACTTGATTTTTTTCCACAAGAGGTCTTTCATCTCAGCGTTTCACTGTTATTCCAATTGTTGAATCCCTTTCTGTATGCATATAAGCGCCACGAAAGTAGTTGTGTATGGTGTGGTAATAAAGAAAATATATGTCTAAAGAATACTACATTCAGAATCCTGTTTCATGGTACCTATATGGAAATAGTATTAACATGAAAGTGAAAGTTACATCAGTTTGACCTCTTTAAACCAGAAAATCTCACAAAGGATAGGTTATGCAAAAGTCCTGATTGATCAGTCAAATATCCTGAAAACTGTTCCATCAGTTTTTTTTTTTCAGAACAATATTAGGGTGGTTATACCGGGTGTCCCAAGTTATCGTAGACAGGCAATATCTCACTTATTTGACAAGAATATTTGAAACATTTAAAAACTGCATTGAATGGCATTGAAGTTCCTAATGACATATTGGTTTTTTGAATTACTATAACAAAAACAGCAACATTTAATGAAATATGAATTTCAACTAAAATATCGTTTATGTGAATCAAAAGAAATGAAAAAGCATCAGCTTTTTGAAACAAAAAACATACGCGGAGGCAATTTTTCATTTTCACCAGGATAATTGAGTAACTTGAAACAAGTCACAAAATGTCGATATTTTTATTGTTATCAATAAAAAAAATACCAAGTATACGCTATAATTGTATTCCAATTTGAATGACACGTTATTTCCAATGACAATATACAGGGGATGCTATTCGAAAACAAAAAACAAAAAAAAAATTATTGACATTCGGAAGGTACCAGTTTTCGAATTTTTCAATTATCTTGTCAAATAGGCAAGAAACTGCCTGTATACGAAGGATGTATAGGATGTATAGGAACGCACGATGTTCTTTGAACATTATAGGGATTCCCTTTCGTGCGCTCCAAGCGATAAAAAAAAACTTGGGACACCCGGTATACAATATGTTCGATACGAAAATAATATAGCTATTGTTATCATATTATGCGTATTGCTGAAAGACATCAACATTTTTTATTTCAAATAGAAAACCCTAAATTTTACAGTTTCTCGTGATACCACGTATGGAAATCGGGACACCCGGTATATTATTAAACTTTCTAGACACTTTAGAGTCAATTTCATGAGTACTTTTTTTCATTAGATTGAGCAGTGAAATCATTGATTTAGTATTATATTATAGATTGCCATTACAAAAAAACAGAGGTTTGGGAATTGTATTGAAACCATTAAAATTGTTCACATTGAAAATATTTCACGTCCCAATGTGTTATTGAGAAAAAACAAGAGTTCCTAAATGTACTTGACACTACGGTTTTGAGGTTTTTTGTACATTAAAGTACGGACACTAGACAAGCAGTGACAATCAAACATAACCACAACGATTTTGAAGCAAATCATATGTTTTGCCAGACAAGGATATGTTTTTCGCTTAGATAAAGGATCTTCGCATCTTCCTTCCTCCACAAGTCCTGGGAAGAGTACATCCATATATCTTTCTCTGTCTTTGATTTTTGTGTGAGAGTGCATAGCGTCTCTTCGAGTGGGTAAAAGGGTACGAAAAATTGATTAGAAAATTATTTCTTCTCGAAATATTGAATGATAAGGCTGAAGGACCTGGTAACAGTTTTGAATCTTGCTAACTCTGACTTTTGTATATCAATCTTTTTGCTTTGACTTATTTTCCAACTCTCTATTTGTTTCTTCAATTTGTTTCCTGAATTCCTCACTCTCTTCCACTCATAAACCTTGGATTTTTGAATATTCCTGCTCTAAAAACTCGATTCTCAAGTCTGTTCTTTCAAAATATGTTCGAAATGAGTTCCATTATCTGCAAGTTTTTCGTTTCTTGTTGGTTCTAAATCAGAATAAGGTATTTTTCGATACTCGCTCAGTTTACAAATTCGGGGTTCGGCCATTTCTCTCAATACGATCCTAATATTCTTCAACATCGAATCTTCCGTTCTGAAGTGTACCTGATAAGAATGCGTTGAAAAATGTTCTATATCCTACCACGAAATTTGAATACCTCGCAAATTTTGTGGCCTGAACCTATATTCTATGTTGGCTGCATTATATTCTGTTTCCATTTTTGTAGAATTACGTTATTCGATGGAAATTCGAATAGAGTGGATTGATTTCCCGTGTTCTCACAGTTGGGAACTGCACAAACTTGCATCTTTCTCCTAATTCTCTCAATTTGTCAATTCTTTGAAATTTATGTCATGTACGTCCGTGTACTGTCCGTTCCCGCTTTTTCCATCAATTTATTTGTGGTTATGTCTGATTGTCAGTGCTTGTCATAGTGTCCGTACTCTAATATACAAAAAACGACAAAACAGCAGTGTCAAATATATTTAGGAGCTCTGTTCTGCACGAATATTTAATTGGATAACTAACTAGACCGCTAATAACATAGGATCAAAGCCCATTCGTTCAAGGGATCAAACTTGGTTCAATGGATAGTGCACATTTAGGGCCTGTCATATACTTATGATTCCGAATAACAAGAGACGGTTCGGGAGTCCTTGCGCATTGAGCAGACCCGTTTTCAGGCAAGCGATTTGTATAAGATTTTCAGGTTGCTAGGATATGACAAATAGTCAATCTCAAAGTGGAGTGAAGTAATTATAATAAGAACTCTCGAAGTCGTCTCCATAACGTTTAATTTCAAATTCATGAAGGGGAAGACATGTTACGGACCCAAAAGGTGTCCATTATCAGCCGAATGAAATTATTCTACAAAGAATCAAGAGACAATAGGAATATCGAGTGATACAAAATTGTACTCACTTGGAGATGAAAAAGGCAAAAACATGGTTTTAATATAAACATAGTTAAACATTTTGGGTATAGTTTACATAAAATTTAATTGAATGAATAACAGGTATTTTCGAAGGAGGTTCTGTATCCTAGAGTCACTGGATGTTATTAGTTTGATAAGAGTTCGGACACAGAAATGACAACGGTTAGGGTTTTTGAATGTTTAGATTTA